GAAAAGCCTTCACTTCATTTTTAACACATTTTCAGATTTTACCACATTCTCACCCTGTTATTTACTTGTTTATTTAATTTTTTGAGTTCTGTTTTTGTCTTACTCTCTTTCTGGAACCGTTCTTTGCCTGAGTCGAACCCTGTAATCATGATCAATTCTTCTGCATTTCAAGTCCGCCGACGTACATAGCAAGCTAACTGGATAAACTGGTAACAGTGAGAAAGCCGTCAATATGGAGGCAAGCGTCAGCTGGAAAGCGCGAAAAAAGAAGGCGTCATACCGCCCTGTAGCGTTCATTTTAAAGACGAAATGCACCCATACCTACTTCTGACTATATAATTTGCAATGATTATAGGGCTATATTTTCAGAAAGAGCCCATGTTGAAATAAACTCATGAATGGAAAAATTGATACATAAATGAATACATAAATTAAATAAATAAATAAAATATATGCATAAAACCAATAAAAGTCTATTATAAGTTGTTCGTTTTAAAACTCACAGTAGTAATCAAATTAAATAAAATCAAAGTTTATTTCTAGAGCACACCAAACTACAACCTTTGGCCGACCAAGATGCTGTACAGTAGCAGTAGAAGATAAAAACAGCAATACACTACAGTAAAAACAACAATATAAAACAATAGTAACAACAGTAAAATTTTCCAAGAAAGAATCAATTTAACATAGCCTGGAACCGCCATTAGGGAATGCTAAATGCACTCGAAAAAAGATGATTCTGTAATATCGATTTAAAAATAGATAGAGTGGGTGCTATTCTGATTTTTAACGGTAACTTAAGGTAAGTTTTATAAACAAAAAGTTACATTTTATAGTCTATTTCGAAAATGAACCGGCAACCAATGTAGTTATCGCAATATTGGTGTGATATGGTCAACTAACTAACTAACTAACTAACTAACTAACTAACTACCTAACTAACTAACTAACTAACTAAATAAATAAATAAATAAATAAATAAATAAATAAATAAATAAATAAATAAATAAAAAAATAAATAAAACAAAGGTCAACTAAACAAAACAAATTACTATTACTCATAATGCAGTCATCATAAAGTCGTGATGACCAAATTTTACTTTGCTGGCAAAAAAAAAAAAAAATAGATTTGGCAAAACTATCTGCTAGAATACACAGATTTACAAGTACATGACCATCCATATGATTCTGATCATGAATATCCAAGTCTGGAAAAAAAAAGTCAAACTAAAACATAGATGTATAGCTTTATAATACTGTGCTATCATCTGACCTCACCTGAAGAGGTGTGCTAACCCCCTCCAGATTAATCAGATCCAATAACATGATTTTCACCGACTCCAAAAGCCACACAGGATGAGAAAAAAAGAACTGAGGCAGACAGACAGAAAGAGAGAGTCTCAGAGAAACACACTCACTAAAGCCAAAAAGGCTGTCAACAGCCTCACACACGCACAAAAAAAGAAATTCCTGATTAATCTACCCTTTAAATCAAACAACAACAAAAGGAGAAGTTGAAAGGAATTTGAGGGAGACCAGCACCACACAAAACCCAGAGCGTAGAGACTAGCGAAAGCTCCCTTAAGCCTCATTCTCTGCTTCCTCTCTGTCTGCCAATCACGCTTCCAAAAACTGTAATTGTTTTTCAAATCCGCACAAACCAGACATGACAGACCAGGTAAAGAGAGAGGGAGAGAGAGGGTGGGGGGAGGTAGAACAAGAGGACTAGAAAGAAAGAGAGAGGCAACGGGAGTCTTTTATTAAATATGATGGCATGTTTCACAGCTCTCTGCCTTACAGAAACCCAATACACTGATTAGTCAGCGCTTTGACGTTATCTTAAGTTCCTTGTCAAAATTAATTTAGTGTGGGTGGGCTGTCGCGCTCCAGGAGAGAGAAGCGGAGAAGGAAATAGCAGGGTAAAAGGGAGGGAGAGGAAAAGATCTCTTTCAAATAAGCCCCAGCTTCAGTGAGCACCAAGTCATGTGCCCAGGAAACAAATAGCCTATCTGCGAGCTATCAAAGAAGGCCTCTCTTTCCCCCTCCCCGAATACGCCGGACCCAATGAGACCCATGAAAGTGGATCCCGTCGACTCGAGATCTGGCCCGCTTAGCCTCCTCCGGTGCCAAACCCCCAACGGGTTATTTGTCAGGACGCACACTAACTCGCACACACACACAAGGTAAATTGGCACACCGCTGCGACTATCTTCAGTAAGCCGGGGTGAAATCCGAAGCCCGGCCTCCCGTCGCTGGACTATGGCTGACACTTCATTAGGGGCCGACGTACTGCCGGTGGCCTCCCTGAGTGTCCGATTTGATGAAGCTTAATGGATAACAGCGTTTCAATTTGGGAGATCCCAGGCTGCTTGACAGGCTATCTTAATCTCCTTCAATTAGGAAGCAGCTCTTAGGCAAATCTCCGACATCCGAGAGCCGAAAGAAGGCAGCCTGTCGTTCTGACCCGTAAATGGGTTAGGACCGCCAAACAAGGCAGACAGCCGCAAATTCTCCGGTTTCCCGTTCCTTTCTAGAGCTTTTCCTCGGATAAGTGGATTAGGTAGCAGGTGTAGAACACAGCTTTGGCCCACCCTAGTGGAGGTCACGAAGAAGGGCCAAGTCTTCGCCAGCATCCAAACTGACCACCGCAGCTTCACCCTGCCTGTCCTCCCTTTCTCTCTTTTCCTTTCTTCTCAGCGCAATTCCCTATTATCCAGGTTCTTTGTTCTTATAATGGTTCCCCATCTTCCATCTTTCTCCAAGAACACAAAATAACCCTTTAATGCTTAGAGAGGCAGAAAAACCGTCTCGGCCTTCAGTAATAATCCTTGAATTACCCACACAAGGGTTTTCGTTTCAAGATGTGGAATCTTCAATTATTACTTTCCCATTTGGAGAGGAGAGAGGCCGGACGGACAGGAATGAGAACGTGTGTCTAATGGCTGAGGGAGGGGGGAGTAAGACCGCCTTTGTTCACGTACAACACATTTAGCGTAGACCCTTCTGGTCTGCGCGTGTCCTCAGAGCAACATAAAGGATAAAAGCATGGCAGAGATAGATTTTTCGAAACAGGCGGCACAATGGAAAGAGGTGCCATCAGGAAGAGAAGGAGATGGAAGGATTGAGAGGAGAAAACAGAGACCTGGTGATGAGAAGCATGTCCTCCAAAAAGCTAGGAGAGTCAGAGGCACATTATCAATGTAAAGAGATTCCGAATTAAAACAGAGAAACAAGTTCAGGGGCGTTCGTCACCATGTCCTTCACCGACAACAAAACCTCAATATCTGATAATGCCACAACCTTCCATCAAAATGGGAAAAAAGGGATGTCTAGCTCAGAGCGTGCATTCAGAACGCGTTTAAGTTCATTGATTTCAGATGAAGTGGCGTGCTATTCATCAGCCCTCAATTAATCATGTGGTCTCAATGTTAGGATTAAGGAGGAAGCATCTGTGGAAACAACAGCTCGGCAAATGAAGCGCCATACAATGTCCACTCAAGCACTAAATAATTGCTACCAGCCCACAGTTACATCTCGTAAATGACAAAAAAAAAATCATTGTGCTTAATATATTAGCCTATGCAATATTACATCCACTCATACTGATATTGGCAATTCACGTGTAGTGTAGTGTATCCTTGTAGTAAAAACAAGTTGGTTGTGTATGTGTAAAATGATACATTTTAGATCAGGGTGATCAATAATCTTCAAAGAACCAGCACCTTCAAGACTGAAGAACATGGGGGATCAATACTTAATGAGACTGTCTTGTTTTGAATGGTTTTATCCATTGAAACCTGCAGGATGTGTGAAAGCCTGTTGTCCTTGTGTACCGGTGAATGGCACAATCCATAATCATACCTTTCTTTCTCTGCACCTCAGGTTTGACGGAAATAGCTTTTATTCTATAAAATATGCAAAACTCTTATTGTTTGTGCCTTGAGTGAATACAAATGAAGAGACCTAAACTTATATTTTCTGAAATATCTTTAAAAGTAGTATAATTGAGTAGGATACTCCAAAATGTGCCTTTGTGATTCCGGTTTCTAAAAACATTTACAAAAATGTCTGCAACATATTTGTGCGTATGTGTTTTGTGAAACTATTAGCACAAAAAGTACTGCTGACGAACCACAATTCAACCGCACGTATCAAAAAAATTGAAAAATAAAATTAAACAAAATAAACAGTGGGTAGCATGATCGCCTCACGGCAAGAAGGTCCCTGGTTTGAGCCTCAGCTGGGTCAGTTGGCATATTGTGTGGAGTTTGCATGTTCTTACGGGTTCCCTCTGGGTGTTCCAGTTTCCCCCACAGTTCAAACACATGCACTATAAGAGAATTTGTGTAAGGTTAATTACGTATGCCGGTTTAGATGGCGGTTCATTCTGCTGGGGTGACCCCCGACAAAGGGACTAAGCTAAAGGAAAATGAATGAATGAATGAATAAATGAATGAATGAATGAATGAATGAACATACAATAAAATACAATAAAATTAATTATTTTATTTACAATAAAATTTATTTTTAATTATTTACAATATAAATAATTATTTTATTTAAATAAAATAAAACAAAGTTACATTAATTTAATAAAATAATAAAATAAAATATTTTTAAAAATTAAAAAAGCTAAATAAAACAATTTCCTCTGTCTAAATAAAAGTATTAATAAGTTACAATACAATACAAAAAACAAAACAATACAAATTACTTATTTACTTAATAATAATGACCCAACATATTTAAATGTTAATGCATTTGACCAAAACATGTAAAGATGTAGTTTTAATCAAAGTTTTAATCAGAATTAGGTTATGATTACATAGAGTGTTGAAGCGTTCTGGACCAACTTTATCTTTAACTTTTAACTTAAACTTTGTTATCAAGCCCTATTTGTTGCAATTTTGGTATTTGAAAAGTTAAAAATACACACCTTACCTACAATGACAATGATGTGCATGTGCATGAACATAAAACAAGTTCTCTAGTTCACTGACCTGCAGGCATTGAGTCTGAGTTTTTCCTCTGTGTCTCTGATCAGGTTCTGGATGTCCACATCACTAGGGATTCCTTCAAGCTGCAGTTCCACAAAGGCATGATCATGGAGGAAGTAACCTTGCCCCTCCATCTCTTCCCCTAAAAACAATAAATCATTGTAAAACTGTTTAAATTCAAGAGCAAACATCAGCTTCTAACATTCAGACTAAACAGCTGTTCAACTGCACTGTTTATAGAATTATACATGTGCTCATTTTTATAATGCAGAAGTGACTCCAACGTGTGTTCCTTTAAGAAAAATCATTTCACTTATCGGCTATCTTTAAATATGCTTCTCAGGCAGTAGGCTCGGGTATTCAGTCTAAATGGGAAAACGTTTAGATTAAAAATGTGGAGCCACCAACAAACGTTTCATAAGATTTGCTTCTAAAAGTTTGAATCAAACAACATTAGCCTTTTTCAGGGTGCCCATCTTCCTGACCATGCGCACTCGAAAGGAACGAGATCACGACATCAACCTTATTTATGGTCATTCTGCACATTATCATCCTCTGAATAATACTTTGTTAGATCGTGCTGCTCTTCTGAAATAATCCACAACTTGGTCTTGATGGTGAATCTCCTCCAAAAATGATTGCGACTCTTTGTTTACTTGTTTGTGGGGGTTTAAGTGGTTGCTGCTGTCTTGTGATGTGCATTTCAGGCACTATCTAGTGTATTCTACAGTTTTTGATTCATAGCAGCAGATATAAATGTATAGTATCCTTTGATCTATATTAGTGCCCGTTCAATCAAAGATAGTTGATAATGTTCTGTTTATTAGAAGAATGCAGTTGCTATTAGATGCCACAGTTGTTGTTTAATGTCATTTTATGAGATTTTAAATTGGTTGTAAATATATATTTTTTTATTATTCATCAGCTGGAAAAAGGATTGGATTCTTTTGCCAATGATATTATTTTTCTGTGCCAAAATTGTTATAGCTGTGATTTGGGCTTACCTCTTATCTCAGAATTAGAGCCATTATTTAAACTTTATAGTGTTTTCGAGTTCTTACTGCAGTTATCCGAATAGCCCTTGGTTTATCATAAAATTGCATGAGCAATTCTAGAGTTATGGATGTGACATTTGAAGGAAAAACGTTAAAAAAAAATGCACAGAGAAATTATATGTTAACATTATATTGAAACATCTGTTTATATTTTCCAAAACAACTAACAACAGAGTTCTGGAATCAGAAAAATAAACAGTTTGTAAACATTTTGTTAAGATTTTAAATGAGGAAAATAGACATGCGTTATGTACAATATGTCACAAAAGTGAGTACAGCCCTCCTACTTCTGCAAATATTTATTTATTACTTTTTTACAGGACAACACGGCAGAAATGACAGTGTAAAGTGTGTAAAGCAGTGTAAATTTATTGTCCAGTCAAAATAACTACAAATACATCCAATAATAGCTAAACCCCAGGCAACAAAAGTGAGTACACCCCTAAGTGAAAATGTGAAATGTCAATATTTTGTGTGGCCATCATCATTTTCCAGCATGGTTTTAAATCTTTTGGGCATGGAGTTGATCAGAGCTTCACAGGTTGCCACTGAAATTTTCTTCCACTCCTCCATCACAACATCATGGAGGTGGGGGACATTTGACACCTTGTGCTCCTCCACCTTCCTTTTGAGAATGGCCCAGAGGTGTTCTATGGGGTTTATGTCTGGAGACATGCTTGGCCAGTCCATCACCTTTACCCTCAGCCTCTTTAGCAAGCCAGTGGTCATCCTGGAGGTGTGTTTGTGGTCATTATCATACTGGAACACTGCTCTGCAGTCCAGTTTTCTGAGAGAACTGCTTCAGTATGCCACAGTACATGTTAGAATTTATGTTTCCCTTGATGAAATGTAGCACCCCAATGCCAGCAGCACTTATGTAGCCCCAGAATATGACACTCCCCCCACCATATTTAATGGTAGACAAGACACACTTGTCTTTGTACTCCCCACCTGGTTGCTGCCACACAGACTTGGTCTGAGACCACAGGACATGGTTCCAGTAATCCTGGTCCTTAATTTGCATGTCTGCAGCAAATTGTTTGCAAGCTTTCTTGCATCGTCTTTAGAAGAGGTTTCCTTTTAGGACCACAACCATGCAGACTAATTTGATGCAGTACGATCTGAGCACTAACAGGCTGACCTCCCATATTTTCAATCTCTGCAGCAATGCAGGAGGCACTCATCTGTCTGTTGTTCAAGGACAATCTTTGGATGTGATGCTGAGAACGTGCACTCAGCTTCTTTGGATGACCATGGCGAGGCCTGTTCTGGGAAGAACCTGTCCTCTTAAAGCACTGAATGATCTGGGCCACTGTGCTGCAGCATAGTTTCAGAGTGTTGGCTATCGTTTTATAGCCCAGGCCATCTTTATGTAAGGCAACAATTAGTTTTTCAGGTTTTCTGAGAGTTGTTTGACATGAGGTGCAATGTTGAACTTTCAGTGGCCTGGTTGTGAGAGTGAAAGAGCTTATATACCAAATTTAACTCACCTGCTATCTGTGGATACCCGAGACAGTGTAACACTTATGAGTTAAATGAAACAGGGAAAGAAAAATGACTAATTGTGCTCAATTTTGACATTTTCACTTAGGGGTGTACTCACTTTTGTTGCCAGGGGTTCAGCTATTATTGTCTGTATTTGTAGCTATTTTGACAGGACAATAAATTTACACTGCTATACACACTTTACACTGACTACTATTCATTGTGTCAAAGAGTCATTTCTGCAGTGTTGTCCTATGAAAAGTTATAAATAAATATTTGCAGAAATGGGAGGGGTGTACTCACTTTTGTGACATACTGTATGTGACCAAATAAAGTCTGTGAGTTTACAGTATACAACATACTTTGTAGAAGTTATGTGAACTGCACAACCCAAAATTCTTACTCCAATGCAAATCAAAAGGAGAATAGTTGGCTTTCTCATTCTTCCCCATGTTTCAGCTCATTTTTCCCCACGTTTCAGCTTGTTCTTCCACGTTACAGTTCATTCTTCTTTCTTTAGCTCATTCTTCCTCTTGTTTTAGGTCAATCTTCCACATGTTTCAGCTCATTTTCCTTATGTTTCAGCTCGTGCTTCCCCATGTTTCAGCTAATTTTCCCCCATATTTCAGCTCATTTTCCCAAATGTTTCAGCTCGTGCTTCCCCATGTTTCAGCTCGTTCTTCCGCATATTTTAGCTCATTTTCCCCCATGTTTGAGCTTGTTCTTCTCCATGTTTCAGCTCGTTCTTCCCATGTTTGAATTTGTTTTTCTCCATGTTTCAGCTCACTCTTCCCATGTTTGAACTTGTTCTTCTCCATGTTTCAGCTCATTCTTTCCCATGTTTAAACTCGTTCTTTCCCATGTTTCAGCTCGTTCTTTCCCATGTTTCAACTCGTTCTTCCCCATGTTTAAACTCGTTCTTTCCCATGTTTCAGCTCGTTCTTTCCCATGTTTCAGCTCATTCTTTCCCATGTTTTAGCTCGTTCTTCCCCATGTTTCAGCTCATTCTTCCCCATGTTTCAGCTCGATCTTTCCCATGTTTCAGCTCGTTCTTTCCCATGTTTCAGCTCGTTCTTCCCCATGTTTCAGCTTGTTCTTTCCCATGTTTCAGCTCTTTCTTCCCCATGTTTCAGCTCATTTTACCCATGTTTCAGCTCGTTCTTCCCCATGTTTCAGCTCATTTTACCCATGTTTCAGCTTGTTCATCCCCATGTTTCAGCTCGTTCTTCCCCATGTTTCAGCTTGTTCATCCCCATGTTTCAGCTCGTTCTTTCCCATGTTTTAGCTCACTCTTCCCCATGTTTCAGCTCATTCTTCCTTCTGTTTCAGCTCATTCTTCCTCAAGTGTCAGCTATTCTTACCCATGTTTCAGCTCATTCTTCCCCATGTTTCAGCTCGATCTTTCCCATGTTTCAACTCGTTCTTTCCCATGTTTCAGCTCGTTCTTCCCCATGTTTCAGCTTGTTCTTTCCCATGTTTCAGCTCTTCCCCATGTTTCAGCTCATTTTACCCATGTTTCAGCTCGTTCTTCCCCATGTTTCAGCTCATTTTACCCATGTTTCAGCTTGTTCATCCCCATGTTTCAGCTCGTTCTTCCCCATGTTTCAGCTTGTTCATCCCCATGTTTCAGCTCATTCTTCCCCATGTTTCAGCTCATTTTACCCATGTTTCAGCTTGTTCATCCCCATGTTTCAGCTCGTTCTTCCCCATGTTTCAGCTTGTTCATCCCCATGTTTCAGCTCGTTCTTTCCCATGTTTTAGCTCACTCTTCCCCATGTTTCAGCTCATTCTTCCTTCTGTTTCAGCTCATTCTTCCTCAAGTGTCAGCTATTCTTACCCATGTTTCAGCTCATTCTTTCCTATGTTTCAGTGGATTCTTCCCTGTGTTTCAGCTCATTCTTCCTCATATTTTAGCTCATTCTTTTTATTTAGCTTAATTTCTCATTTTATTTCATTATATATACACTACCTGACAAAAGTCTTGTTGTTGATCCTAATTGTTAGAGTAACAAATAATAACTTGACTTCAAGTCGATCATTTGAAAAAGTGGCAGAAGGTAGATTTTTTTTGATGAATCCTCCGTTGAACTGCATCCCAATCATCACAAATACTGCAGAAGACCTACTGGAACCTACATGGACAAAAGATTCGTACAGAAATCAGTCAAGTTTTTTGAAGGAAAAATCATGTTTTGGGGTTACATTCAGTGTGGAGGCATGCGAGAGGTCTGCAGAGCGCAGGGCAGCATCAACAGCCTAAGGTATCAAGACATTTGTGCTGCACATTGCATTACAAACCAAAGGTGAGGGCAAATTCTTCAGCAGGATAACACACATTCTCATACTTCAGCCTCAACATCAAAGTTCCTGAAAGCAAATAAGGTCAAGGTGCTCCAGAATTGGCCAGCCCTGTCACCAGACATTAACATTATTGAGCATGTCTGGGGTAAGATGAAGGAGGAGACAATGAAGATAAATCCAAAGAATCTTGATGAACATTGGGAGTCCTGCAAGAATGCTTTTTTTGCCATTCCAGATGAGATTATTATTATGTTATTTAAGTCATTGCAGATATGTATAGATGCAGTCTTCCAAGCTCATG